TCACTACTGCAATATTGGTAAAGTTTAACTGACAGTATGTTGTGCAGCCCTAGTGAATGATTATCTTAAGCACTAACTGTTAAAAACAGTTTTTTTTTTTTCTTTTTATTACGCTATAAAAATAGTTTCTCAGTTCAACCTAAAAACTGACCTTATGTGGTAATTTTAGTTGAGCTGAACTATGTTTTGCATCAATTCAAACCTCAGAAACACTTTTTCTACGCTGTTCCATTTTTTACAGTGTAGACAGAAGTCCAAGTTCAAGATGTTCAGTTGTCCATGCCAAAAGAATTTCAGTGGCCTCTTCAGGGCCTTCAAATGTATATTCTGATCACGTTCTAATTTTTGTAGAAATAAATAAGGCCATAAAATGGAAAGTTTATGACTGTTTGAATTAGTGGTTTCAGAACATCGTTGGTCAGGTTTTTGACTAATCCAGAGTGAGCGGGATCAGGTAGCGGAGAGAACAGCCTCGTGCAGTTTCAAAGAGCCTTTTGTAAGAGGAGAGCAGCCGCGGTTCTGCTCCAGAGACCAGCGACTGTTTGAAACAGTGCTAGTCTCAATTGCTAAATGCCAGCACTGAGATTCAGGGGCACAGACCATTATTCTGGTTCAGCACATTCTTTGTGTGCGTGTGTGTGTGTGTGTGTGTGTGTGTGTGTGTGTGTGTGTGTCCATGGAGAAAGACTCATTTTCATTTCGTAAACACCATCGTCTGAGGGAGTGCAAACAGCCTCATATTGTGGTCCAATAAGGCCGGATATTTTGGCGCTTTACACTTCCCACTTTAGCTCTAAAAGCTCAGACAGTCTTCACTGCAGTGCTGTTTTTAACCGTGCGCTGAATTACCATGTAGTTAGTGAAGTGGTTCAGGTGTTATTTATGACCAGACTAAACAATGTTTACCCACCCTGTAAGGAAACGCTTCATTCACAGCTCCTGCATTTTCTACCATGACGTCTCATATCATACTACAGCTGTGTTAAGGGCAGTTCTGAGTATCTCCTTGAATGTTCGGTTTCCTTATACAAACTAAAACTAAACATTAATGTAACTAATAGATGATATAAGTATTAATAAATTAATAAAAGCTATATATTCCTTTGTGTCAAACGTGATACATTATAAAATGTTCTAATTTTGAGCACAACATTATAAATAGTGTAGAATGTAACCCTTACACTGAGTCATTGTTACAAAATCCCAGTCTGTCCTCACACTGTGGGTGTGCTTGTGGTATGTGCAGTCAACCGAATTTTAAAGCAGTAGTTTGACAAAAAGCTCTTACCCCAAACAAATGTACACAGTTTTCCTCTTAGTTATCATAGGCTCATAGTTATCATAGACTCAAGTGCAAAATTGAAGACACAAAATACCGCAACGGTATCAGCGTGGATAATGACACTTAGTCATTCATGCTGTCAGTCATGTGTCATTTGCTTGATGCAACTAACAAGTGCCAGTTGCATCACGCAGCAGTGGGGTCTTGCGGTCTTTTGCTTCAGTAAAGCCAAGAAATCCACAACTCAACCACTGCTGCTGACAGCTTGAATGAGAAATATTTACCGAACTCCAGCAGAATCTAACACTCAGACATGTGGCAGGAGTGAACAGGCTGCATGTATGAGACAAATTACTTGAGAAATTCAGATGCGAAACAATGTTCAGCACCATTTTTGCAGAGCCAGAAAAGCTGCTACATGCTTATGTGTGCAGACCACAAGCTTATCCATGTATTTTTTAGTTCTGTTCTTAACTATTTTGCAGAATAAAAAAATGTTTTGCTTTTACTTCAGTTGTTAAATATGGTTCTTATTATTAATAATGTAATAGTAAATACTAGTTAAATATTGTATCTGAACAGGATTTATATACTAATGAGTAAATGCAGTTCTTTTGAGTTTGATATATTTTATTAGTGACCACAAGCACAGTCTTTACCAAAATAAAACATTAGTCAAGCAGAACTATATAAATATCATTACCTTTTATAAATATCAGGATTTATAAACTAGTTAGGTTGTAGAGTTAGTATAGGTATCAAGTATCAGGTATCACTTTCGGATGGGAAAGAGTGGCATCAGTGCATCCCTAATGAAGCCAGATAATTAAAATATATAGCTGTTAGTTACATGCAGACTGCATGTTTAACCCCTTAAATTCCCAGGCTTATTACATACTTAGATTTATTATCCAGTACCTACGGGGACCTCAGCAAACTTGCTGAGCTGTTCTTAGATTATAAAAGTATGTAATGAAACTTTGGGTGCGCCGGGGTCCCTGCCCATTTAAAGGGTTAAATCTTCTTGCACTACATCGCGTTGTTCAGTAATCTCATATAAACTTGGTTTCTGATACTGCACTGCTGTGTGTGATCCACTCATACCAGCGCAACACACACTAACACACTGCAGTATGCTCTGTGGTGGTCCTGTGGGGGTCCTGACCCTTGAAGAACAGGGTGAAAGGGGGCTAACAAAGTATGCAGAGAAACAGATGGACTACTGTCTGTAATTGTAGAATTACAAAGTGCGTCTGTATGATACGTGGAGCTGATAAAATGGACAGTGAGTGTAAAAACAAGGAGATGCTCTTAATGAAGTGTACATCACTTACCAAAAACAGTAGTAGCAGCCATCTTGACGCCTGAATTTTGTCTAAACCTTTGTAGTAGGTTTATGTCATACGTTGTCAGAAACCAGCTAAGCAAGTCTATTTAAGATTACTTAACTCAGTGAAGTTTGGGGCAAGTGTGTGATGTTTTAGGCATGCAGTTTGCACGATGGTGGCTGGTCTAATATCTAGCTGCTTTAACCTTGTAGATCCAGTGCAAAACTAAAGAAGTACACTCTGAACACCAAAAATGTCTTTATTAATGGACTGTTTCAGGTGAAAGTTGATTATTATTTGAAGTGTTGTGTTTTGCAGTCAGTAAAGGGTTAGCTGAAGAGACAGCCTGTCAGATTGATAGACTTTGTTGTGTAACAAAACAAGCTGACAGTAGAAAGTGATAAAATCAAAGGAAGAGTCAGGGTTGGGTCGAGTGGAGGAGTTTGTGTTGGAAAGCACTGAAAGTGTCATGAAGCTGTGCTAGTTTGTTCAGTTTATGCGAATAATAACACCACACCTATGGAAAAGTCAGCTGGGATTGGTGTTTGCTGTCGTGAGGTGGAGTGAGCTTTTCTTGGAAATGCGTTGGTTGCTGCAACTTTTCTCACACAGTGTAAAACTTACATTCCATAGTTGCAGCTGTGCTGTTTAGAGCTGAATTTCATCATAAATGCTGCAGCCTCAGGGGGCTTATGTTGTGTTTAGTCTAGTTTTGTATTATTTCCTGGAAGAGGTGTCATAGTGCTGGGCAGTATTAATAACAATTTCCAAATAGATCACTTTATTAGGAGATTTTTTAGTTTGCATTAATAAAGTTAATGAAGCATGTTTTGGTTGGACTGTTCTATTTTGCTTTTCCTAAAATTACACCAAAGAAAACTTCATACAGTGTTATAAATGCTAACCAGAGAGAATACAGATTTCCAGAAAGAACATTTACTGTTTAGTTTTCCTGTATTTAACCCTATTCAGAATCATTCAGCCAGTGACACATACTGTAGCTCTTATGTTGTTGATACTAACCAGAATTATTCAGAAATAACTACCCCCCATTTATCTTGTCAAAAGTTATGAAAAGAGACATTGTGGATTTGTTCCCTTGTTTGGTGGACCTGCTTTAACAGAAACACAGAAATGCTGATGAGCTTAGTCATGGCCAGAAGCAAAACCCCTATAGTGCTGATTTACATTAAGCGGCTGCCACCAAAGACTGCAAAAGAAGCAAAGCCCTGCCCTTTTGGTGGCAGGGAGTGATTGATGTAATGAACTAAGAGGACTCTGAATGCTTTATATAGTCACCCAAACTTCAAACAACACCTACACTTTGCTGGCTCAGAGCATTGTGAAACTAGATCCATCTGGAATTTCTTTGTATAAGTACATATAAGCACAGAATCTTACGCAAAAAATAAATTATATAAATAAATTCTTAAATGATTTTTGATTCAATTAATCAATTAACAGAACATCATAATCAGATTTGTTTGATTCTCTACGCTCCCCCCTCTGTAAAATAAACTATCACACACGAAAATGCCATATAGAACTCCAACCGATCTACTAAATGATCTAAATATTGTTTATCTGCGATATGATTTTGACACATAAATATTTATAGACATGGTTTAAAGCTGTTTCATGAGAACAACCCAAGCGTGATGAGGAACAATATTTTCAAAGTAGTGAAATATAAAGAATGAAAGCAATACATCAAGCATTTTTTGGGAAACAGTCCAAGAATTATTTTTTGTTCTTATTGAATATTATCATAAAACATCATTATCAGATTTTTTAATAGGCTCAATGCTTCCCCTACTGTAAGATGAACCTACGCACACAAGAAAATACAGGCCCTGACTCATGTACACATTTGCTGTCACAAATTTTGTTTTTTGTTTTATCTGAATTAAAAACTCCAAAACTGTAGTCTTTAGATTTGGGTTTTATTCAATATAATCTAAGCCTGTTTTTTTATAAAAAAAAACGTTGTATTGAATATTTTTAGATACAACCCAACATTTATACATTTTTTAATGCACTGTATAATGTTTTTAAGGTACTGATTCTACAATCGTCCCCCAGATTAATATACAGCAAACATTATGTACTGAATAGTGCATGAGTTGATTGAATTGAATATAGTGCGGTGTTAAGCTCTAATATGCCCTGACTCTCTGCAGGTGTTGACTATCCTGTTCGGTTCTGTATGAGAGTTAATGATATTTGCAGTGTCTGCTTTGGCCGTGTTTCATGTTTTCTGGTTTCCAAACCCATCATAGTGCAGTGAATCACTGTAAGACCATCACCCTGAGCGTACGCTGATATCTTGTAGCTTTCAAAGCGATGTGTTTGGGAAGGCAGGTGCTGACTGCTTGTATGTATTTGTGCAGATGATGTGTCGGCTGGGAGCAGTGCAGAGTTTCCAGACAGGCTCTCTCTAATGGAGGTGCGGCTGCAGGCGCAAGAAGATGAGATCACGCTGCTCAAGTCTTCATTGGCCGATGCGTTACGCAAGCTCCGCCTCCACGACCAGCAGATTCCACTACTTAAGCAGCAGCTAATTGCTGGTAAGAACATCTGTATAGTTACTTTAATATATGAATATGTGCGTTCTTTTGGCAAGACTTGCCAGTTATTGATTACATTTTTCTTCCTTTATTATTAAATGTTAATTGATTTTTAGTAACATTTTCCCATTTAAATGATTTGAGAATAAATGTGTAATGTTTTTTTAACCAACCTTTTCTTTTTTGTAATCTGTGTGCTGTTGTCAGGCTAAGTATTTTAAAGCTAATTATTAAAATATGTATAGAAAATACATTATGGCAACACAGTCACAAGCATCAAGGTTTTTATGAGAAAAGGTAATGAGAAATGGATATGTAGATATGTACATAAGGTAAAAAATGTAAGAACTTTAGAAATAAAAAATGAAGAATGTAAATTGTTTGCTGTGCCAAACAGAACTCCAACTGATCTACTAAATTATATTAATATTGTTTATCTGCCTGACGATTTTGAAACTCACGTTGGATATGGATATATTCATGGACATGGTTTAAGGCTGTTTTGTGAGAATAATGCTAATGTGCTGTAGGAACAATTTACAGTAGTGAAATGTAGATAATAAAAACAATACATCAAGGATTTTTTGGGAATTGTCACATGGAAAGTAGCCCAAGAATTATATCAACTACATGCTATAATCACTTATGATTTTCCAGATTTGATGCAGCCACCTTCAGACTGATATATCACGATACATCTATGGATTTTTACACCCCTACTGTTAATTAATATTTGGCCTACTATTTTGCTGAACTTAATCAGAAATGATACATATGGCAATACAAATATGTGTGTGTATGTGTCTGTGTGTGACCTCAGTGAACCCTGGTGCAGCTCGAGTGTTGAATCAGTCTTTTTCCGTCGATGGATTCTCCAAACCCTGTAGGCTCTCAACCAGCTCTCTGGACGGTCTGCATCACCCAGTCAACAGGTACTATTGGGCACAGGAGCTCCTGATTACTGTAGTGCTTTTTACTTTACTCCTGATTTGCAGACTATTAGTCTCCCAGACTTTTCCCTCATTGTGTTATGAGAATTATGTAGTTCTGTAAGATCCTTAAACATTTGTGTAAATATAAATTGCTAGTGGCACTCACTGTGTGACTGGTATCAAATATAGGTCAAATGTAAGAAGCTGGTTACTGTAAATGTGATGCATGTTCATTCAATACAGTGTTAAATCGATTTGTTTGAAGTCAGAACTGCTACTCAACAGCCATGATCTTACCAAAGCTTCTTTCTGTTACGCTTCCCTGGAGATACGAGTTGCTCAAGTAGAACTGAAGCACAGTTGTGAGAAATGCAAGACGCCCGCCCACACGTTTAGTGACAACAAAGAAACGGCACAACATTCCTTGGCACACTTTTAGCCTGGGACAACCAAACAACTTCCAGTGAAAGAAGGAGAGCGAGAGAAAACTTGTGTGCCATGTGACTGTGGTTTCGTGTAAATGCTCAGTGGTGTTTCTGGCTTGCTTGGTTTGGAAGAAAATGCCGTCCTTTTGTGAGCAATATTCAATGGTGCTATTATTGAAGGAGACAGAGGAGGCAGACCCGCAGTTAGCCAAAGCCTTTAAACTCTGCTTCAGTACAATCCGATTTGATGTTTAAAAATTAAAAAGCAAAGGTTAAAACATCTAAAAAATAATCACAAGTTGAAAATAATCACTTTAGATGGAGTTCTGAATGTACATGTAAAATTCAAGCAGTGCCTCAAACAGCCAAATAAAACGTAACCTGACGCTCTAGGCTACAAAGGCTTATTATGTACATATTGTCAAAGGTATTAGATTTATGGCCATGTTCTGTAAACACAGGATCATGACATTTGGTGCATAATTGCTGTGTTAGATCCTACATAACATAGCCTTGAAGGTTTTAATGTGATAAACTGAGGACAAGCTGATTTCTTGTTATTCTTGGTAGTTATAAATATGTCATACTTCTCTTCAAAGGGACATTCCATCTTTTGCAATGTTTACTTTTTTCTGGGAATACATTGGTAAATGTGAGTTATACTGTTTAGTGTCATAGAGGGATTTTTGTTGAAATGGACAGTTCTCTCTAACACTGTCATGTCCAATTAGTTCACTTGCTTGTTTTTGCCTCAGTGCATGAGACACCACGAGACATATTGTGGAGTCTTATGATCGATCTGGGACTTGAGTTCTAGTCCTGTGCTTACTCCAAACCTGTTAGCAGCCCACTGTTTCCAGTTTCACAGCCTTATCAACGGAGAAAAATAAGTGAAAGTGTTAGCTTGGGCTGGCAAAGTATGTTAGTCGTCGCCCGTGTCCATTATACAAAAAATGTGCATCACATCACCCACTTAAAAGCGAAAGTGCTCTAGAGTGCTCAGTATGGTTCATCTGATATCTCTGGTCATTCTAACAGATTGCAGTACACTGTAGGAAGCGTAGGGGTTTATTTGGCTTCTGTTGTTGCAGTAACAGTAAAAGAAGAAGTCACCAATTGCATAAATGGAACAGTGGCAGTCTAGTGACTGCAGTGATCACTAGCAAGCTCGGAGGTTGGCGTCTATCACTTGATGAAATAAGCTCATAAATAAAATAATATGTTAAATAAGCTATCATTGCAGAAGGTAAATGGTACCTAATGACATAACCTAAATGGATGACAAGGTGGACCACCACGGTTACTACAGTGGCACTGTCGCTGGGACAATGTAAGAGGAAACGGCAGAAGGCACTGTGGTTCACTCAATAAATAATAATCGACAGATTTCAATTATAGAAATGGTTGTTAGTTGCTGTGCTAGTGTCATTTTCAGTTTTAAAATGTATGTATACATTTTATATACATGCAGCCTTGCATGTGTTTTATATCTATCTATCTATTTCATGATGGGTTTTATGATTGTGTGTCTTCAGCCATGTCTCAAACTCAACTGAGAATGGGGAGGGCAGTAGAGCCCACTCCGTGCCCAGCCTGAAAGCAGGCACTAGTGAAAGGTCGACACAAACTGACCCCTGGACCCCTGAGTCTGTGAGGACGCCACTGGCCGCTTCCAAGAGCCTCTGTCTGGAGGATGCACTTCCAGAAGGAGTTTCCCTGATGGAGGAGGCGCTGAATAAGCTCCACCAGGAGACGCAGGAAGAAGAGAACAACGAAGATGAGCGAGAGAAGGACAGAAGCTGGCGCTCTGTGGTGGAGGAGCCCATCCAGCCCACCAGTATCAGAACTCTTCAGCAGCAGCAGAGCAAAAGCAGTGAAGAAAGCCAAGGCTCAGCCCCACAAACACCAACCTCCAGCTCTCCAGCGCCCCCTAAAGAGCCTTCCAGCAGCCCCCACACTGGACCTCTGTCCCCCATTATGGAGGGCGAGAAGACACTGTGCGTTCAAACCGCCGATCAAACTGACCTCATTCTTCACTGCATGTCGTCACTGCTTCTGGGCTTGGTTCTGATTCTAACCCTATTACTCATGCTCCTGCAAGTCTGAGTTGTACCACTTAGAGGACATTGCTATTTTCCAAGATTATTCTTTAGGTTCTTCAGGTCTAGATTTCCTCACTCTCATAACGGCATCCTTTACGTATTAGTTTCTTAGTAGTTACACTGCAAAAAATGATACCTTGGCAAGTAAAAATATTGTTAAATCAAATCACTATGTCTAATATTTTTCATTTTAAGATTGTTGTAAACATATTATCATACTAATTGACTTATTTCTAAAGATACTTGTTTTAAGTCATTTTATCTGGTGAAAATGTCTCATTCTACTGGCAAATAATTTATTGTCTGCATTATTAAATGAAAGAGGCAAAATTATTGGTCTAAGGAATTATTCTTTTACCAGATAAAATTACTTAAAACAAGTAAAAGCATCTGGAAATAAATTAAATTATCTGATGTGTTATATTTGTACAGCAATCTCAAAATGAAATGTTAGAGACAAACACAATTTAAGGTTTATTTTGCTAAGATTCATTTTTTTTATACAATGTAGGCAGTTTAGGTTAATGATACTTGTTGTGATAGTAACGTAGTAAAAGTAATAAGCCTTAAGATTTCTGTTTGAATAATAAAGCCTATGGTTTAAGACTTTAAGTCCCATTTTGGGCTGAAAACTAATATGAATGAATCTTAAGTTTTAGGCTGGTTCTGTGCAGAATGATTGCGCCTAGAGGGAAAATATTTGTGAATGCAGAGTCCCCACTAACATACTGTTATAGTCCACAGCTAGGCTTTATCAGAAAGCCATAATATGTAATAGTCTTAGTCCGGGGCCAAGGTTAATCAGTTATTAGAGGCCAGCCCTGCCCTTCTTTTAGGGAGAGCTTGTTGCTATATATGGACGAGGATAAGTATAGTGTGTGGAGTCCGTTGAAAGCCTAATTGGAAGTTGTTGAGTATGCTGCAAGTTTGAAAGAGCTGTAAAAACAGTCTTTCTCTAACTACCGGGTGTAAATTTGTAAAATGTGACAAGACACTTGTAATTAGATTTCTGAAGATACATGCAGCTTTTATAGACAGGCTCTGTCAGTCAGGATGTCATATCAGAGAAGATTCTACACTGGAAACTGTTTGGCATCGAGTTTTTTTAGGGACGATGCCAATGTTATGTGTGAATCTGGAGGCTGTTTATGATACAGAGTGTGTGGATGATTAGGAGTATTTGACCGCACTTCAGTGTTGAGAGATGTGTGAGTGAATAATTAGATTCAGTGGAAAATGTGATGGACAAGAGCACCATTTGAGATCATTGGAGTGTATACATGAGAAATTAGTGCAGGGTTAGGCCTCTAGGCCTCAGGAAACACACACCGTCAACAGCACCCGTGATCTGCCGGAGTTTATAGAGTAGATGAAGTCATTGCTCAAGCCTTAGCTGGTGTGAAGAGGATGGAAATGATTTTTTCTTTATAGTGTTATTTAGCTGAATTGGTGAAGTGCCTTTCCCAACATTTTAGTAAATTTTAGTGCCAAAAGAGACAAGCCAGAGGGTACAATATGCTTGCATCTTGGACTGGTACAAACTTTAACAAAAGCTTTATGACTGCTGGGCATTGCTGTTTTCAGATTCTGTTTGAAATCATACTAACCCAATCAAGTTGTACTTAATCTTAACCTGATGATATGCACATACATTCTAATCATGTTTTTGATTAACCGAATTTCATGATCTCTTCTTCCTGCATGCATAACTTTTGGCGATCTTATTATGAATATTTCTTGATTTAACGAACCACATTTGTACCATTAATTTTTTTGTGTGTGTTTGTGTTTGTGTGTCTGTGTGTATGTGTGGCCTGATACCTATCAGAGATGTTACTATTCAGAAGGGCACTGAACAAGAATTATCTATAGAAAAACAAGTCTGTTTCAGATTACTTAACAAGTTGGTGCACTTTGAGACAAGTATGTGATTTATGTATGCAATTAGCACAGTGCTAAACTTGTGGCTATAAACTTCCATTACTCATTATCTGCATTAGCCTCGTAGCTCCAGTGCAAAAATGAAGAAACAAACTTCAGACCCTTAACATTGCTTGGCAGATCGACTATATTTGGGATAAGGGGAAAATTGTGTCAATTCTATTTTTGGCCTAATTATTAAATCACATCATGGATCACACTGGTTCTGTTTGTATGATTGTAGATAGTGTGTCTCTGACTGGGTGTGCAACAAGTACAGTACTCATTTTCAGTACTTCCCTGTTTAATATATCGCTACTGTTGGAACAAAACCTCATATCTCCAAATGGTAACTTTACAGGAGAAGGAAAAAAAATATACTTTACTTTTAATGCAAGTCAGTGGAGCCAGACATTTCCCCAAGTCATCCTGGGCCACTTCTTTTGGTCCATTCATCATGAAATTTAAACACAACATAAAGGACAACAGGCAGTTTCAAATGATGTCAAAAACTAAAAAATGACAAAAATGGAGATACAAGGTTTTGTTCAGACAGCAGCGATTTGCAAACATGTCAACATATTACATGAATACTTAACATAACATAACATAAATAAGAGTATAAAGCATAGGAGAGACAAACATTCCAACACAAAACCCTCCCCATGCTGCAACCTTATTACTTACAAAGCATCTGAATGGACAGTTAACCTTACCCACAAACATTTTAGGAGATAAGAAACCAGAGTGTTCCAGATCTTTTGAAACAGATAACGTTTATCCTTTAGCATATACTTCCCTTTAAGTGCAGTGTTTTTTTAGCTGTGCAATCCATTGTCCCATTGAAGGCACTTCTGCCCTTTTGCAGAAAGTGTGAAATATAAATAATAAATGCTTTTTTCTATATCGACCAATAAAAACAAATAAAAATCTTTCTATATATCTTTTTTCCTATGTCCTGCAAAAACAATGAAATATAATTATTTCCTTAAACAGCTACTTATGGTGATGCAGGTTTGTTGTGACAGTAGCCATTACTGCTTTGCATATTTTACACACAACACAGTGGTTAAGTCACTCTACATGTAGGAGACCAATTTCAAGCCTAGTTTAGGGTAGTGCATCGCTGCTCTAACATTGGATGCGGCTCCAAACGCTGCGTTCCTGCCAATCTAGTTGCATCGCTCTTGCGCTGCACATGTAATGTAATGTATGTGGTCATCGTGGAAACTCATATATTGCAATGACAATAAAAATACGATTGTTAATGCAGCCCTATGCTGTACATACATCTATTCACTTTATAGATGCTCCTTTAAAAGCAAGTTCATTAACATAGTATCATTTAAATCGTGCAGTTTCAGACAGGTGTGAAAAGTCTTTTACGCAGAAGACGATGCCCCATCAAACAAGTTTCACTTCTTTGTCTGTTGCCACTAACGTCAGTGGTGACCGCTGCTGTTTCCTCTTCCGTGTTTCTTTTATTGGAGAACGTATGGAGCTTTTAGAGGAACAGGAAACGGGGTGTGTTTTAGAGGAAACAACCCCTGAGCGCACATACGCTCACACCCACTCACATCGCATATTGAGTGTTAAAATGCACTCGTGTTGTGCCGAAACAGTACGATCACTCTACATCTGCGTTCTGTTGATGTCCTCTTAACTGATTGAGAGAGTGGAACATGATACTTGCTTTAGCACTGATGATGATGATAATGATGTGCTGTGATGCTTTCAGATACATCCTGTTCACTGCTGCTATGTGTTTGTGCACGTGTAAAACCTACTTCTATATAAATCTAAGCTGCCTGCAGTGACTACATAAATGATTAAAGTGATAGTTTGGTTATAAATTAAATTTACACAATGTTAACTTATCTCAAAATGTAGTTAAAAGTATTTTTTTTGTGTCAGAAGCTTGCTTCTTTATTTTTGCACTGGAGCTACAAGGCTGATGTAATGGAAGTAGAGGATGCTTATGCTGTTGCTAATTAGCATCTGCATGCCTAAATCATCACACACTTCATACCTGCCTGGAAATGTGTTGAGTTGGTGAGCAATCTCAAATAGACTTGTTTATGTGGACTCACTATATGATATGAATGTGTAAAGTAGAATTTTTCACTGTGCTATTACTCTAAAAGGGGAATTTGATTGTTGAGATGTAAACAAAGCCATTCAAAGTGCTTTGATGTGAAATGGTTCAGATTTCTTTACTGTGGTGGTGATAGGAACCAGGGGATGTCAACAACCCAGATATAGCCAGAGCCTCCTCTCAGAATGATTGTAAAACAATGTCTCAGGCCTCAGGCAGCACATTTAATACCATTCCATATAAAATCTGTCTGAGGTATCTTTTAGAGACACTTCAGACATCTGGCTACCATCACCATCTATGGACAATTTTGGCTTGATAAGTTTCCGTAGAATGAAGTATTTCACATCAAACCACTTTGAAGGACTTTGTGGACATCTTATGAATGCAGCAATTTAAAAAAAATGGTGGAATTCCCCTGTAAGTCATATGTCATATAGAGATTGATCATTGGCTTTTGTATGTAGGATGCGGAGAAATAGTGAGAAACTAAGCAAGGACACCCAGGACAAGACCAAACAGAGAATGCCTAAGAAAGCAGCATCCTCCACCAATCTGCTCACCCGTTCCCCAAGCCTGGAGGGGTGAGTCAATCCATGTGATAGATTCAGTACTGATCATTTCTTTTAACATTGCTCTAATGCCACTTAGAAGCTTTGGATGGCCTTGAATGGGCTGTGAAATATTTGATGAAGGACATTCTTACAAAAAGGCACTTAAAATGTAGTTGCTGGGGTTGTGGGGTTTTGAATGCAACATGAAAAAAGCTTTTGTTTCCTGATAATTATTTTTTAAATAATCATCTATTCATTGTAGTCTGAATTGTCCTGAGACAGTAATTAAAAGAATTCAAAGCTAGAAAATGTAGTAATGATGTATAGTAGTCGTATTCATTAAATCTAGTAATCATATTCATTCAAAATACATCACAGAGATGGATTACTAGAGGCTTTTTAAAAATATTCTCTACATTCATGATGATGAAAATGATTAAAAGATGGCAAGACTTTGGAATTTCTTTGTGACCTTCCTCTTTCTCTTCATTCCAACCCATTTAAATACCATCTAATTCCATTTATGTGCAATAGTGTTCAGCATGGAGATGAGATGTTCCTCTAAAGCAGGCCTACCCAAAGTTGCGTAACCCCATGAGCAGTCAATAAGGAAACAATAAGGAAACGTGTTTTCAGTTGTTTTTTTTGTATGTATTTTTATATATTTTAGTTTCAGTGTTTCTTTTTTAAATTAGTTATGCATGATTGGAGTAGGCAAAGTTTGGAGTTGACAATTTTTGCTCCAAACACATCAGCATTTATTATTTTTATCTGTCATGTTGCAGTTATTTAAATAATGACAGGTAAATAAGGCAGGTAAGTGCAATCACACTGTATTTAAATGCTGCCGATACACATATACTAAAATGTTGTAGCATATTCATGCATGACTTATTGTGCTAAATAGGCAGCCACTGCTTACTTTAAATATAGCCCTATATCTCATATTGTGTTGTTTAAATAAACACCTTAGTCATTTAAACGTTTAAAATAGCAGTTTGGCTCATGAAAGAGCATGCGATGCTATTTATGTTGTGGCTAATAGAAAGTTAATGTGTTCATTTAGCCCATACAGTGTGAGCTTCGGGTTTACAAAAGGCTAATAAAGATCAGCAAAAAAAGGCATTCATGATTGTTGCATTGCTATTAAAACGTAAAAATGTTTTTAAGTACTTTTAGTAGTAATACATGTTATGTAATGTAAAAATCTGTGATCCTTGACATCTTACATCTGTCATTGACTGCAGCACATATGTAGCTAGCAGTTACAAGAGTCTAACAGGCAGTAGTGCCCAGACACTTAGGAGATTTAGAGACCACTAGTGTGAAGAATTTCTTTTACTCAGTGTGTCTTATATGTAAAGAGTCCATTGAAGTATTAAAGAATACAGTTACACCATGTATACCGCCAACATGTTAAACGTAAAGCTAACGAGTTACTAGCTAGCTGTTTTGTCTTTCTTGGCTCTCAGCTAGGGCTGGGCAACATGACAATATTTTTGTTTCCATGATAAATTATTTAACAGTAAGTCACAATATGCTTTTCTGTGCATATCATGGATATCATCAATGCTTAAAGACACTTCCCAACTGCGTGTTTTATTACAAAGAAAGCATAATTAGCCCTGTATAATTGGATTTGGTGCAGCACAATGTGTAAACATTAAAAAACAAATAATTGTATTCATAGTTTTTAATGGCATTTCTTTATTATAAAAACTTCTCGAAGTTTCAGGATTACATTTTTTGTCATATCACCTGCCTCTACTCTTTGGGCTATTACAGACATTACACTTCGGCCCCACAAAAAGCAAGAGTGACCGCCCTTGCTTTAGATGTTTTATAAAATAAGTCATTCTTTTGTTGTAAAGCTGTAAATTCTATTGTTTTGCCCAACCAATAAGACGATCTGGACCACTGACTATGTTTTTTTCTTGTTTTGATTTTTTTGACAGCCGAGCTAAAGACCTTCTTGCAAGCACAGGTAATAAAAACTCTCACAACTCTTTCTCCTCACACGTGCCTCAACCATGTAATGAAACACATGCTGATTTACAGCCCGTTTGGGTCCTGACCCAGCGCTGGCTTCTTGGTCTGCATTAGTCCACTGCAGCTCATCTGGAAATGACTTCATTCCACACTTTCATAAACATACACTGTCATCTGTCTCGCCTGTCTTTAGCGACACACGCTCTGTGCACAGGCAGGATCTTAGCACGTGGCGCTCCAGGAAAAATACCCATTCCTTCTATACTCATTTACCTTTGGGTGTATTCAGTTGCTGAGTAATTGTGGTTGACCTGGGAATACTGACATAATTCCTTGAAAATCTGTTAAACGACCGCTTTTAACCCCAATCACTGTTCCCTCAGTAGGCAGACATATTTGGTTGGCTGATATATCAGCCCCAAGTAAAATTGCCGGGAGGTTTTTCTTGGCACATCACATTTCAAGGAAACTTTTAACAGCTTGAAAGTTTGATGTTTCAAGTAATTGAATTGACATAGCCCTTGACAAGCCTTTAAATGTAAGCGCGTTAGAAAACTGAAATAAGTTCTGATAGGTTTTTGAGAATGTCAGTGTTGTTTGAGTTTAGATTCAAAATCACAGTAGTCAGAGACAGTTTTATGTCTACATTCATGTACACATGGCCTTTTTTGTGAGTGACCTTCTGACAAAAGGACAGGTGCTGTCTGGATGTTTTGTTTATGCATGTGGACTATTCTTCTGAATTGGTTCAAAGTCAGAGTTGAAAATGCATTTCAGACTTTTAACTGACTTTAAATTCTTTTGCTTTGAGTAACCCTGTACCTTAGTTATGTTTATTTTATTAAAATAAATGATTGAACGTTCCATGCTATCACTACTAAAACAATCACAACACTACTGAAAGGTTACCACATTTCAGTTTTAGCAAATTTTCAGCAGAACTCAAAAATGCTAGTCATTACATGACTAGCAAACACAGCTTTGAACAGTTATTTGGTTTAATTCCATAAAATGTGTTTCACTAATAACAATTCTTAATGTTACACACCAATTTTCAGACTTTGAACAGATTTAAGCTCAAACTGCTCACCATGTGGTCATGAGGGACAGGGATGCAGTCTTTTTTCCTGTTCTAAAATGCGTAAGGCTCTGCCTATGGACTAAAAGTCTTCATGTTTTAGTAGTGATATTAAAATGTGGGACAGAATTTTGAACTTGAATTGCCCTTACAATCAGTCTTTATACACAAACCAAGCCACTCAGAAAGTATTTTCTTTGGGGGAATCACCCACCAAACTGTCATTCACGCATATTAAAACATCCAGCTAACACCTGTCTTTTGGTCAAAACCATAGAAGAGGCCAGTAAAGGCTGCCACGACACGGTGCAACACTCTATTACAGATATGACTGTAAAAGGGGTGTGTTTGTGTGCAGGTTACAATTTAATTTGCAAACATACCCATAATCTTAGCAGTGCTTAGAGAAGCTGACAGTTTCACACTGCTGCGAAAGAAACTGCTTTGGAAGTTGCGTAAATAAACTCTCGTAAAAATAAAAGTTCCTAAATGCTTCTCAGCTTGAACGTTCAGTTCTAGGAAAGACTTTTAATTGGTATGGAACCTTTTTTGTACGTTTTTGTTTCTCAGGGTACGATCATTGTAAAGATACCCTCAAAGGTGCAACAGCGGTCTTTTGACTAGGTCCGATTATGTACCTTAAATAAGTTATTTTCTCTGGGAATAGGTACATTTTTTACCTTTCTATAACCTAATGTTTTACTGAACAGAAAATTAACTGTACAATGAAATGCACAATTTTGTTTCCTAAGCAAAGGTACTGAAAACGTACCCCTGAGGATACCACCCCGTGACAGTTTAGTAACTTTTTTCTGAAAGATTCTTTAGGAAGCTAAAAGTGGTTCTTCTATGTTCTATGACTCCAAAGAATCCTGTTCTGCCCCTTTTTATTGTTAAGAGTGTACCTGTAGGCCATGATCATGCTCCTTACTGCCAGGCCAGGAACAGGAAATGTTCTCATTTTCTTTTAAAAATGTATCTTTAAAGTATTCTAGTAACAGAATGTAGTGTAATATTATAAAGAATGTTTTTAAAAACCTACCTACTTTCTTTATTTGTTTAATCTTTTGTCCTTTTAGCCCTTGACGTGACAAACAATGCACAGTGACCTTCCAAAACATACATTTTGTGCACCACTGGTCTGGATCATAGTCTGTGTAGATCTCCACTAACCTTTTAATTAAAAGTCTTTTCTTGCAGTATGACACGTTTAACCCCTTTAAATGGCCACGGCCCAAAGTTTTATTACATACTTCTATAATGTAAGAATAGCTCAAACAGTTTGCATTTAAGTCCCTGCAGTTACTAAATAACAAGCCTTAGTATTTAATAAGCCTGGGATTCTAGGGGTTAAACACACACACACGCACACACACATGCACATACACGCTCTACTCACTGCAGTAATGGACACAGGAGAGCTTGTTACTGCAGGCTGTTGCTGGAAATTCACTGGCTGTGGTTGGTTGTGTGTTACCACACTACTCATAGCTATCTGACAGAAATGATGGATGGCTGTTTCCTTGGCCACGAGAGCCAGAGCCGTATGGCAGAAGTTCTTCCAGTGCTGCCTGTTCCCTACCATTTTTGCATATGTTAGATCATCTGTGTCGCCTGCATCCTGAAACGCTGGGAAAAGGAAACGAACGCCTTTACGTGAAATGTCTTGAGAGTGGGCAGCCCTGGAAGTATGCAGCATTCCTGATGAGTGTTAGTGACATTTTTACGAGATGTTGTCAGGTTCAGATTTCCTCAGTGACCGCTTGTCTGTGGGACAGCATTGACATTGGCTTGGCTTTTCTAGACAGACACTGAGCCCTGACTTGAACTAAAGTGCCCCATCAGTAGGGATGAAAATCCATTATTAGTCCAGGATTAGGCTGATAGGATTTTAATAAATGTATGATAAAATGGGTATGAAAAAACAAGTGCTTAGAAGAGTTACAGATTTTTTTTTTGTTGTTTTTTTGCCTTATTTTCTTATAAAAATCCCCTGATTATAAAATACTCTGCATTATGTAATACATCCAAACAGATCACCGTCACTATTTTGACGGAAAGTGAGTCGACTTCGTCTGCCAAGTGTGAGTGTTTTTTTGGCTCTCAGTTTTTATTGTCATACCATTCCAGGGAACACAGATGCGCTTTCCTGCTGTGACTTATTCAACAGTCCCATAAGCTCTGTAGTCAAAATCTGACTCCTTCTTCCATCTTCTCTTCTGCTTATGATCTGTGCAATTCCGAAAGGTGCTCTGGGCTAGTTGGGCCAGAATGATGGTGCAGGGCTGAGAGTGAGTAGCTGATGGAGCACAGTGTGATTTATGGTAATTTGCTGTAAATCTTTTTATCTGTTTAGGCAGTTTATCTGTGTTTTTCTGCCTTTTTGCAGGAACACAGGGGTCCAGGAGAGGAACACAAGGTAGGCTTCTCTCTATTATTGTTCAGAATAATACACAGATTGAGTCACACATAAAAACATACTGTTACCAAATAAATCAACATTTATTAATAACTCAATAAAGGAAGACACAGACGGGACCACGCGTAGATTGCCCATCAAACGTTTGGGGACATCTAGCTTGTCAAATGTCACAGTATGTGTGACAGTGCGTTGGGAATATTCCCGAACACCACACATTTTATACCCTTGTTTTGATGTCCCTCTTCAGCACTCAAACCTTTCAGCTGTTAAAGCCACTTTTGGGTCCACTAGTTTTTTAATATGTGCATTTAACAGTAGTTTAGAAAAAGAAAATTGTCAGCTTATTTAGGCTGAATCTAGTCTTCATACCAAGGAAGATATTTTGATGAAAAATATGCTGAGTGTTGCAAAATGTACCCAAAGTATTAGAAAATAGTTGTTTATGTGGGTGTATTTTTTTTTATTTTTTTAAATGTATCAGCAAAGAAATTCAGATTTCAAGGTGACAGTGCACTTTTAGTGGACAACATCAAGGTATACTGTAAAATATATGTTATTTTGTACCTCAATAAGTTCCTGTTTAGTGCCATAGTTGACCTCTGTTGAATTCTCATATAAACTGCTGTTTTACATGTCTGCTGAAGCTGTGCTGGGTTAGTTACAGTTTTATGTAGTGCAGCCTCTAAGTAAGTGGAAATGGGCACTTCATGTGTCTTGTATTAAATCATTATTTGTTTTAATATAATAATGCACATTATTATGTATGCAATTGCTTCACAGGTCAATCAATCAAAATGTTCATCCGTGGACGGCCAATCACCATGTATGTTCCCTCAAACATCCAGAACTATGATGAACTAAAGATGGACCTTCCCTCAGAGAAACTGGAACTGGATTGGGTGTATCCACTGTCAATCATGGTCAATCAGGGCCATCTTCATTAAGTTGACATATTTGTGAGAAACAACTATAATACTTACTTTTACAGTCTCTTAAGTTCACTATGTTACTTTTTACCTTAATAGCAAGACCCTGGTGGCATGTCAGTGTTATTTAGTTACACTGTCTTGGAATTTACCGTTGTGTTATGTTTACCTAGTACCCAGTATGCTTACCTAGTCAACACATAGAACTTAAAGGAAAAAAGAAAAGTATTATAGAAACAGCAACATTACCATCACATTATTGATCCAGCTAACATTCCTTGACCCCCTGGCTGTAGCTATGGCTACCGAGGACGTGACTGTAGGGGGAACTTGTACATGCTACCCTCAGGAGAGGCGGTGTATTTCATAGCCTGTGTGGTTGTTCTTTACCACGTCACTAAACAAACGCAACGGCATTACCGTAAACACACAGACTGTGTACGATGGTGAGTTCAAACTAGAAACACCACACAACAACACACATATACAAAAGACACAATGATATCCTTTATAAAAGATTAAACATTCTGCATTCATCACTGTCATATCAAAACCATGTAACTCGTTTTCACTTCCTTATATCATTCAAAAACACCAGCTGCCCTTTACATTGTGAGCATTTCATAATGAATCATAATGAATATTTAATTTTGAGTAATTTCCTTCTCCTGGAAAGTTGCCATTTCAATTAATGGTTTTGTTATGACAGCAAAAATGTTTTGTTTTAACAGTGACAGTTTTTTCCAAGTGAACTGATTACTAATCTAATAAACTCCATTTAGCATTCCATGGAACAACATCTTGCTTTATATTTTGGCAATAAAAGAGTTTGATGTAGCATGTAACATGTTAAAGTTTCAAAGCATACTGTTCACTCTCAAATTCATACAGTAGATATTTGAAAACTAAGCTGCAAAAATAGCCAGTTTTCAAATGTTAATTTTTAATTTCATTTAATTAAAACATATTCACATACAGTTGTATGCAGAATGTTTGAACATCCCCTGTCAAATGATGTATTTTGTTTTTGTTATATTGGAAAAAAAAAATAAAAGAAAGTATAAAATGTGCCATAACTTTTGCACAGGCTACATTTTATGTTTTATTTTTTTCCAAATATGTTAAATTCAGCGAATAAACGGTAATTGTGCATTAAAATGTGTAGAAGTATGTTCTTTATAGAGGATGTGTTACTTATTTTCACTTAGAAAATCAACAAAATGACTGTGTGGATCCATCTGTTCAGATTAAAACGGTTCAGACTAGAAGAGCATTACAGTCTGGACTGCTTTATGAATGAGGAACAAAGCAGGGCAGTCAACCAGATTAGAGCTCATTTACATAGATCAGTCTTAAAAGTACAGTAACAGAAACAGCCTGTTTAATTGTAAGGCATAAAGAAAGGTTGGAAAATGGACAGCTAACATTGAATTTTTACTGTTTTTGGCACATAAAACCTCACAAATGTGGTCTTTAGAAAAGTGAACCTCAGGAGGAAAAATAAGATACAAGGAAACTATAAGATATGGGCCTGTAGTGCTGTATTTGTGCATATTTGTGTTTTTGTATTTCTATTTATGTTCTTTCTCTTGCGCTGCAGTCTAGCAATTCATCCAGGCAAGGTGCTCATAGCGTCCGGACAGACAGCAGGTGTGGATAAGGATGGCAAGGTGAGTTTAGAGACATGTTCTTGAAACCAGTTGCATGGCCAGTTAAAGAACTCAGCTGCTGTAACATTTACAGATTGCTAATATGTGTGTATGTGTGTGTTTGTGAACCAGCCTTTACAGCCGTTTGTCCACATCTGGGACTCCACTACACTAGTCACCCTGCAGCAGATTGGTCTTGGCACATTTGAGCGAGGTGTCGGATCTGTGGCCTTTTCAAATGCGGTACGTGCTGCCTGCCAGTTGTAATACAAAATAAAAACTATGGAAATTATTTTTATAATTTTTATTTTATAATATTTTTATAATCCAGTGTGTCATTATAAATCCTGAACATTTTGTTTTAGGATGCTGGGGCGTTTCTGTGCGTGATCGATGACTCCAATGAGCACATGCTGTCTGTCTGGGACTGGAACAAAAACACCAAAGTTGTTGAAGTGAAGGTGTGTAGATACATGCACACTCACTATATGAAATCGCCATGCTAAATATTGGAGCTATTACTTTTATTAGTAATTAATTAATCAACAATTATATGGAAAATTGATGGTTGGAAAAATTCTGAAAAGTCCCTGAAGCATGTCAATTGTGATTTTGCAATGGGACAGTTAATTGAATGATCTTTGAAAAATTAAAAAACAAATCTGGACCAAAATGGAATAAACCATGCAGAGCTTTTTAAATAATCCAAAATACTTTACTGGAAAAAATGAACTAGTTGAACTGAATGTTGCAAAAATGCATGTAAATATGTGAGTCCATCAGGCATCAGTTTATTACTGTAAGAGAGGGCAGATGAAAATGATCACTGCTGAGTTATCATGAAGGTAAATTTGAATTGATAATTGTTTCATTGAGCTTAATCGAGTCATTGTGACAGCGCTGCTAAAAGTCTGTTCGTAATGTGAATATTATAGCACGTCGCACGCCCCCTCAGGGAAACCTGACTGTGCTCTTCCATTTGAATCCTGTTGGAGTCATCAATATTGCATAATCTCTGTTGCAGTTAAGAGTATGATTTCCACGATTGCTTTAGCAGCTCTCCCTGTGCAGTACTCAGTTAGAGAATTAAAAATATAGGCAGCTTCTGATTCCGTTCCTGTCCATATGCTTGGCATGGATACAGAGGAAAACCCGTACAGCCACGTCTTTTAGTCCTGAAGCCGGCATCCCATAGATTTCAGCTGTCCCCGAGTGCAATCCGAGCGCGGTTGCCTTGGGAACAGCGTAAATATTTTAGGCTGCCGCTTGTGCGGTGGAGTGCGGGGGCTTCTGAGGAGTGGGTGTTCATATGAGGTCATTTTTCTTCATTGTTTTCATTCTAGTAGCGAGTTTGTTACTGTTGGAGAAGTAGGAGTGCTCGGTGTAGTGGGCCCATTTGTCATGACGTTTGCTCATCAAATTATTCTGTAGTTTCCCCCTAGATGCACATTAGAAAACATTATTAAGGACCTCGGCGCAAACACACTGTGCAAGCAAAGCTGACAGCTTATCCACTTTCAGTTTTAAGATATGCTTCTGATGCGATGGCATGATTAAGGAGCTGTTGAGTGTTGAGAGAGGGACTGCTAGTGGTGATTTACTTAGCAGTTGGGCCTGCTTCCTGGACACACATCAATTCTATTGCTGGCATTAAAAAAGGGTTCTAAGTGAAGAATTAGCTCTGAGATTTGGCTGAGTATTTGCTTAATCTATGGGTGGGAACCTAGCCCTACAGTATGCTGGGGAGAATGCTTGTGCTGGAAATAAAACTGAAAAATGACCACAATGAGGTCATTTGAGGGCAATGTCAGGGCAGATTAAGAAGCAGGCTTTATTTTTAAATTATTGTTGAGAAGGAAATGTGGACAGTACAGCATTGTTGGAAGTTTTTTTTGGAACGCATTTGAAAATTTGGAAGGAATTGTTGGGACATTTTTCAAATTTTTCTAGATCACACCATTAGTGACACACGAAATAATGATACACGGTTATTTTTGTGATGCATTAAATAATAATACTGGTATTTTCTCCAGTTAAACTGATGTGAACTGTGTTGAACTGCACCTTTTCGGCTAGTGGTAACGTTTTTAAAAGGCCCATTTCATGGAAAAACAAGAGTTTGATTTATAATGTCCAATTTTAATTTATTGCAATTTTTGTGATGTCACAAAAACCAACACATTAACATATATCCGCCTGTTCAGCCTTCAGCAGTTTAGCTCCACCCGTTTACACAGAAGCTATAAGGAGCGTTTTAGCCTGGGCTGCTTTTTGAATAAGGCACAATACAGGGCAGCCAATCAGAACAGAGCCTATTTGTGTACATCGGCCTGAGTCTTAGACACAGTAACAACAAACAGCCTGTTTATTTCTACGGTATAAAGAGAGGTTGGAAAACAGTCTAATTATTAGTAGTTTTTGTACAGAAACTCACACAAACATCATAAGTGGACCTCAAGATACAAGAAAAAAAGGTTAGTTAGGGTCCTATGTAATATTTTTGTTAAAATTGAAAGAAGTAGCATTACTGAGTCAGGAGGAAAACACAGGCTAAAATATGGTGTGTGTGTGCTCTGCTGCGAGTCTCGCTGTAAAGTCTGAAATAATACCTTAAAAGTCTGAGGTATGGGGTCAAGTTTTGCGGGAGTTCTTGGGCCACATCATGCACCTTTACCTATTAACGTCACACGCACAGGCTCAAAAAAGAAGGTCAGGCCCCCATCCCCTTTCCCCTGGTGGATCAGATTCATCCACTAGGGGAAAGGGGTCTGAGGCACAACTTGTGTTACAAAGTGTTCTTCTGCACGTTACATGTAATTTCACTTTTCCATAACTGTTTTTGGATGTGGTTCATATGTAGTATATATCGACAAAAACGAAAAACAAAAATGGAGATACGAGGTTTACTTCCCAACACCATCGATATGTATGTATATTTATATATCAATTGCATGTTTCTGCTTTCTAGAGCACTAATGAGACAGTGTTCGCTGTGGAGTTCAACCCTGCAGACACTAATAACATTATCACCTGTGGGAAATCTCACGTTTACTTCTGGACCCTGAGTGCTGGGACACTGACCAAGAAGCAGGGCATCTTTGGAGTGAGTACCGTTAAAAGTTGTGTAGGAACAAGAGTAGGTTTCTGCATCAGTAAAATGCTGGATTTGAGAGAAGTCACTTTTGTGTTCTTAATTTGTTCTTTGTTCTTTTTCTTTCAGAAATACAAGAAGCCCAAGTTCATCATGTGTTTTGTGTTCAGTTTAACGGGAGATGTGCTAACAGGTGATTCTGAAGGAAACATCCTCACATGGGGAAAGTCAGCAGCAGACATCAAGACATTAGGCAAAGGAGCAAAAGGTACATGTCTGCATCATTAATTACAGTGTTTATCCATGCATTAAAGTTTCACACCACAGCCCATGCAGTCCATATGTGCAAACTATAGCTGCCTTCAACATGGTTGTGATGTCACAAAGACCCCCCATTCAGCCTACTACATTGTAGCCCACCCACTCACATTGAAATTATGAGGAGTGTTTCTGCAGACAGCCTATAGTAGAATTATTGGATCGGGAGATGTTGGAGAGAATGATTAAAGTCTGTGCTGTTCCTGGATGCTGGGAAGCACATGTATTGTTTCAGCCTTTTAAAGGATTTAGACATTCAAAAGGACGGGCTGATTTCTTTTTTTCCTGATGTCTCTGAGGATTTCATTCTGTACTTTAATAGTTTGTTCTGGATACTTCAGCCTGATATGCTGTTTTGAATCAGAACAGAGCTCAATTATACATATCAGTCTTGAAGGCAGAGTAAGAAACAGGGCTCAAAAACAGCTGTTCACTCTAAGCAGAACCAGTGTTTTAATGTTTATGTTCTTGCGTTCCAAACCCCATCATTCCTGAACTAGTGAGAACAAAAACAAAAAAAAAAGTTTTTTTCTTTTTGACCTTTGACGCACCACAAACAGTGCACTGTTGCGCCCCAGGATAAAAAGTTTGGGCACCCCTGCTCAGTTTATCCAGCCTTTCATTATTCTACGCATCTGAACTACTGCATGATATAAGATATATCTTAAAGCAACCGAGTTTCAAATTAAGACCATTTCCCTGTCATCCCAGATGTAGTGAATCAGTCAATAGTGTTTGGTGTCTGATGTTTTTTTGTGTAGTTTTTGCACTGGAGACGCAAGGCTAAAGTAGATAAAAGGCAATGGAAGCTTCCTTCATACATGAACACAGCGCTGAAAGACATTATACCTGTGTGTGCTCTTCTCTCTCCTGCAGAGACGTTTCAGATCATGAAGCAGACGCGCGCTCATGAGGGCAGTGTCTTCACCCTCTGCGTCCTGCAGGGTGGTGCTCTGCTCAGCGGCGGCGGCAAAGACCGCAGAATCATCCGCTGGAGCGCAGATCTGGCGCCCGAGAGAGAGTGTGAGGTGAAAACAAAGAGAGAGAGAATGTGTGTTTGTGTGTGTGTGTGTTTTGTTTTTCATTGGGAAATTGGAAAAGAGAGTGCTTTGTGTGTGTTTTTGAAGGGGGAGAGAGAGAAAAGGAAGGCGAGGGAGAGTGACCAAAAGGGAGAGAGAGGGGAAGAGGAAAGAAAAGGAGTAAAAGAAGGAAAGAGAGAAAAGGGAGGTGGGGGAGAGAGTGACAAAGGGGAGAAGAAAGAGGGGTATAGAGTGAGAGAGAGATACAGAGAAAGGGGGAGAGAGAAGAAAAGAAAAGGAGTGAGAGAGAGAGAAAAGGAGGTGGGGATTTGTAGGAGAGAGTGACAAAGGAAAAGAAAGGGGGGAAAAGAACAAGAGAGAGAAGGGGGAGAAAGACAGTGAGAATGGGAGAAGGGGGAGTGAAAGGGAGTGAGATAGTGAGAGCGAGAAAGAGAGTGATAGAAAGAGGGAGAGAGAAGGAGAGAAAAAGACAGAGAGAGTGGGAGAGAGAGACAAATAATGAAAGTAAGAGAAAGAGAGAAAGGGAGGTGAGGGAAAGAGTGACAAAGAAGAAAAGAAAAAGGGGGAGAGAGAGAGAATGAGGGCATAGAGAGAGAGAGAGAGAGAGAGAGGCTAAAAGCTGTCCTCATTATCTCTGTAGATTCCAGAGAAATTCGGAGCGGTCCGTACCATTGCGGATGTGGACGGTGAGGAATTGCTGGTTGGAACGACCCGGAATGCGATTCTCCGAGGCACGTTTTCAGACGGGTTTGTGGCCACCGTGCAGGTATGTCATGCTTTTGAAGAGTTTGGGACGTTAATAACTCATGCTTTCAGTGTAACGTGTAATATTTAGTACCAGCTTCATCTGAACATGAACATGAGTTTTTTTTTGTGCATGTTGTGCAAATGTGATGCAATAGAATTGTCTTTCTGGCACAGTGCCATTTAGTCTGTGAGATCGAGTAGCAGTGTATCCTCCCATCAGTCCATCCAGCCCTTCAACATTCTGCAAATACTGCTGTGCTATTGACCTTGAACCACTGCATGAAAAGATATCTCTTAAAGCCAGAGTACAGCCAAAATCCAAGACTTAGACTATTTATCCCTCATCCCAAAGGCAGTCAGCCAGCCAAGACATGTTTGGTGTCTATAATTACCTTCTTTAGTTTTCACTGGAGCTGTGAGGCTAGTGTAGCTAATAAGTAATGAAAGCTTGTTCCTGCCAAGTAGCATCATTCAACTGCATGGCTAAATAATTTCATATTTACATGTAAAAATGGTCAAAAATACAGATAAAAGTCAGCCTTCAAGATGGCTGCTAGTGCTGTTTTTAGTTAGGCAACATACTTTTCTCCACTTTTACAGACGACAGTAAGTCATACAGTGTTAGAAAGACATAAGCAAATGTATTTGAGACTACTTATCTCAGTGCAGTTTGAGGCAAGTGTTTTTAGGCATGTGGGTTACACAGTGCTCACTGATGGTTTTAAGCATCTTTTACTTGTCAGCTATGTTAGCTGTGGATTTCCAGATCCAAATGAGAGACGTATGACTGATGGTACTTGGTGCCCTATTCACTCAAACCAAAACACCATTCTTCATCTTGACTTTATTCACACTATTTTAGCAGCAATAACCAAAACACAACTAAACCTAACATAAACAGCTCAACGGACGTGTACCTTAGCAGCTCCTCGCTTCTCGTTAAACCCAAGCACAGTCATAGCATCCTGGTACGGTTGCGACACCATTAGAAAACCATTCTTTTCTGAAACACTACCACACAGAAGACACGTAATATCTATCAGCATCTCATAGTGTAAGGCTAAGGGAATTAAAATAACAACATAGAATTATTACCATAGTTTAAACATAAAATGTTGCATGCATATCTCAGAATTATGCAAACTAACAAAATGAAACATTCTTGTTTTGCCTCAGACTGTTAGGAGGCATTTAGCCCTAATAGTAGCCTTGCAGCTTGAGTGCAAAATTGGGAAGCAGACGTGAGACATGAAACGTCTTAGCTGACTACCTTTGGGGCAGGGCTGAACGCTTCAGGGAAGCTGTGTAATGATGATTTTTTTGACCAATGTTGTTACAAAGTATTCAGACAAAATTGTGATTATTTTTTGTAAATTAACCCCTTCAAATCTCAGGCTTATTACATACTGTGTCTTATTATTCAGTAACTACAGGGACTTTAGTGCAAACTGGTTGCGATATTCTTAGATTACAGAAGTGTGTAGTAAAACTTTGGGCCTGCCGGTGGACCATGGCCATTTAGGGGGTTAAGGTCTAGGCTTGTTGTTTTGGACAAGATCGGCATATCCACTTTTTCTGAGTTGAACTTACCTGTTAGTTGTGGTTATGTTGTCACATACACATCACATCAGCACATGGGTGTTTGGTTGCTTTTGATTGGTCTAACTCATTGACAGTTGACAAGCTTCATGTTTGTAGGTTAAATTTCCCTATTTGAAAAAAACACTCACTTGTTTTAAGACTTCAAATGTAGCATGTAAATACTGTTAAAGTTTCAAAACATACCATTCACTTATCAGTCCATACAGTTCATTAAAACTGCAAAACCAACATGTTTTGAGTGAATTGTGTGTAAAAAATTTAATTATGAAAAAAATTAATTATGACCATTTTTGGTACATGAACACAAACACAAACATTATCGGTGGACCTCGTGGAAAAAATAAAATACTTGAAAAAAAGTGCCTTGAAAAACAGCCTGTTTAATGGATAAAGAAAGGCTGGAAAATGTAATTATACAAACCCAGTTCCAAAAAAGTTGTAAAATGCAGATAAAAACAGAAAGCACTTTTCACTTTGACCTTTATTGAAAATTAAAACCGTATAAAGACAAGATTTTACTGTTTTATCTTTTGGTCTTCATTGTTTTTGTAAATATATGCTCATTCTAAAACTGCTGCCTGCAGCACATTCCAAAGTTATGACAGGGCAACTGAAGACCAAGAACATTGTGAAATGTTCCAAAAAAACATCTTAAACAGGGGATGCAATCATGCTTAGGTATAAAAGGGGCATCCAGGAAAGGCAGAGTCTCTTATAAGCGAGGATGTGTCGAGTTTCAGCAGTTTCGAATCCAGTGAAATCTCTGTGCATAAAGGGCAAGGATAAAAACCAATATTGAATGCCTGTGACCTTCGATCCCTCAGATGGCACAGCAATAAAACCTATATGTTTCCAATAAATATAGCCACATGGGCTGGGGAATACTTCAGAGGACCCTTGTCAGTAAACATAGTCTACTATATAGTCTTAACTTGCATTTGTAGTATAACTGTGCTGTGTGAAGTGGAAGGTTGGAAAATTGTCAGGAAAAAATGAATTTAGACAATTTTTGGTTTGTAAACACAAATACAAACATTAGAAGTGGACCTTGGGAAAACAATAAATAAGTGGGATGGGGTCCTTTAATGCTTTAAGACAATATGTTAATAATATGGGCTACAACTAAAATGGCAGCTCTTTGAAATTGTGACTTTGACATAAAGATGAGTCATCTGAGATTTTTAAACTATTACACAAAGCAACATTGACTCTTTTCTCTGTGTGTGTGCATCTGTGTGTGTGTCTGTCTGGTTGTGTTTGGCAGGGTCATGTAGATGAGATGTGGGGTCTGGCCACACACCCCTTCCAGAACATCTTCCTCACATGTGGGAATGATAAACAAGTGTGTGTGTGGAATGCTGAAGAGCACAGTCTGAGCTGGTGCACCACACTGGAGGTCAGACAGCACACATACAGCACTACACAGACTGAACCCCCTACAAAGACATGTTGTTTGGAAGTGTATCAACTCTTCTCTGTTTCAGGAGTCGGGTCTGTGTGCTGATTTCAGTCCCAATGGAGCTGTTGTTTCTGTTGGACTGAGCACTGGAAGGTAAACTGCTATTGCACTGCACAGCTTCATTTACATGTTCAGAAAGCGTAACAAATATATTGTGGTTAGGCTTATTTTTCTTGCAAATGTAAAAGGGATCTGGATTTGTATCATGGCACAATGCTGTCTGGGAAACAAAATGACAGTAATTTGAGTATCTAGACAGAGAATGGAAGAAATACTCCTGTGTTTTTCAGCTCTGACCTCTGTCTGCTGCACCTGTAACATACAGTCGATTAACATGTTCAATACTTTTGATGCCTTTTCCCAATGTAGGAAAGAACAGAAAGCCTTGAAACACACTTACACATGTGCTGAAGCAACTGTTCATTATCTTCTGTTATAGTTGTGTTTAAAGTCAAAAGGTTTTCTGTTCTTTTCTTAACTACAGGAAACTGTCAAAACCATATGATACAGATGCAATAGGCAGAGATTAGGTTGAAGAACGTTGGAGTATTCCTTCAAAGAGCCCATATCATGGAAAATTTTCCTTACTTTTTAAGCAAGAGTTTGATGTTGTATGTCAACATTGCTAAAGTTTCAGAATGTGCCATTCACTCCCTGTCCATACAGTCCATGTATGGCAATTAAGTTGCCAAAACAGTGCATTATGGATTAACTGATTTTGTAATGTCACAAACACCAATGCATTTGCATACACTCACCATGCACTTTATTAGGAACACCTGTACACCTACTCATTCATGCAGTTATCTAATCACCTCAATTGTGTGGAAGAATGCGTGTTCACATCAACCACCAGAATGGGGGAAAATTTGATCGCAGTGATATTGACCATGGTATGTCCATTTGTGCAAAATGGGCTGGTTTTAAGTATTCTTATAACTGCTGATTTTCTGGGATTTTCACATCCAACAGTCTCTAGAGTTTACCCAGAATTGGTGCAATAAAGAAAAACATCCAGTAAGCGGCAGTTCTGCATTTGCAAAATCCTTGTTGATGAGAAGTCAACTGAAAATGGCAGAAAAGCTGACAGAAAAGCTACAGTAACTTAGATAACCACTCTGTACACATTTGGCAACAGCATGAATCCATGGATCGAACCTGCTTTGTGTCAACGGTCCAGGCTGGTGGAGGTCTTGTAATGATGTGGGGAATGTTTTCTTGGCATACTTTGGATCTGTTGATACCATTCAATCATCTTTTGAATGCCACGGCCTATTTGAGTATTGTTGCTGACCATGTGCATCGTTTCACCAATCTTTTAATGGATACTTCCAACATGATAAAGCACCAAGTCACAAAGCGTAAGTCATCTCAGACTGGTTTTATGAACATGACAGTTCACTTTTCTTCAGTGGCCTTTCCAGTCATCGTATCTGAATCCAATAGAACACCTTTGGGATGTGGTAGAACAGGAGATTCAGAGCATGAAAGTGCACCTGAAAAATCTGCAGGAACAGCATGATGCTATCATGTCAACATGGACCAGAATCTCAAAGGAATGTTACCAGCATCTTGTGGAATCCATGCCATGAAGAATTGAGGCTGTTTTGAGGGTAAAGGGAGACCCTACCCAGTATTAGCATAGTGTTCCTAATAAAGTGCTCAGTGAGTGTGTATCTGCCTATACAGTAGTTTAATCACGAAGTTATAAGGAGTGTTTCAGCTTTACTGCTGTTTAAAAGAGGCTGAATACAAGGCAGACAGTCGGAACAGAGTTCATTTACATAGACCAGTCTTGGAAACAGTAACAAAAGAAAGGGGCCATTCAGACAACACCTTTTCAAACTTACAGTGTTACCTGCAGAGCAACACACACTGCGACCTGAAAGTGTTCATCGACGCAATATTTTAAAGCCACGTTTGTGCTGAGCACCACAAAATGCACCATTTATCATCCATAAGATATGAGTTGTAACATTTTCACAGGCCACATTTTTTCCCTATATGTTAAATTTAGCAAATAAACAGTAATTGTTTACAGAAGTTTGTTCTTTGTAGAGGTTGTGCTCACTTATTGTCACTTAGAAAATCACTGTGACAAAGGTACAGTAACAAAAAAGCCTGTTTAATTCTAAAAGATGAGGTGAAGTTGGACATTGTAATGCTAAAATGAATCTGTGTATTATAGACATAAAACTGCACAAGCGTTATTAGCAGAGTTCAGGAAAAAACTAATAAAATACTAGGAAAATGTAGCATATTGGCCCTTCAGAGAGAGCATCATCATCATCCTCCTCCTCCTCCTCTTCTCTCTTGTGCTCTGCTACAGGTGGCTGGTGATGGACCTACAGACCAGAGAGGTGGTGTCCGACTTAATTGATGGCAATGAGCAGCTATCAGTCATCAGATACTCGCCAGGTCAGATCTTACAGCTCAGGCACAGACTCCACAGGCCTACCCCATACCAAAAGGAGCATGCCATTCATGCCTGCAGATTGTCTCATATAACTGCCAAAATCCACTGCTGTTATCTGTGTGGTACCATAGCATGTCATTACTGCACCTGTGTCTTCAAGATGAATTGAAGTGTCTTATTTCTGTATGCCACCACACTGTCTGCTTGAGTTCATTGCTTTTCTCTCCACAGATGGCAGCTTTGTGGCTGTTGGTTCCCATGACAACTTCATTTACATTTACAGCGTGACAGAGGGGGGGCGACGCTACACACGTTTCGGAAAGTGCACGGTAAGCGAAGCATGCTAGAACAGATGTGCCAGGGTCTTGAGTTGCGCTTGTAAGTGATTTATATGGCTATAATGTGTATAACCAAGTGTGTGTCATCGTATCAAGGGCAATTATAGTGTTGCTGTTGTAAGAAAACCTCATATCTCAAAATTAAATTATTAAATTAATATAATGAAATGAAAGGTAATTCTGGACCATTTATGTTGGTCCATTCCTCATTAAATATTCACATAATATAAATATTGGCTGCCATTTTTAAACAGTGATGAAAAAGAGCTCCCTCCTGATTTCATATGTTTTGCATATTTGTCACACTAATTGTTGCAGATGCTCTGAGTAAACACAAAAAAACAGTTTTTAAATGATTATTTAATTTATTGAAGGAAAAAAGTTATTTAACATCAGCGGGACCTATGTGGAAAAAGTAGCTGTCCCTTTAGTTATTCAATCAACCAATTAACCATATTTAGTTTATACTTGGGGTCAATTTAAACTAGACACACTCAGGCTTGATTACTGCCAACCCTTTTAAATTGAAACACCACTTAAATAGAACCTTTCCAGTAATAAAGTAGGCTAAAAGGTCTCAAGCAGCGCATTATGCCACAATCAAAAGAAATTACAGAAGAGACAAAGAAAGTTATAAATATATCAGTTTGGAAAGGGTTACAGAGCCATTGTCAAGGCCCTGGGACTCCAGTGAACCACAGTGAAAGCCATTATTTCTAAAAGGAGAAAATTCAGAACAGTGGTGAATCTTCCCAGAAGTGGCTGGCATACCAGATTCCTCCAATAGCACAGTGACGACTCTGATCTGAAGACAGTGTCCGAATCACAAAAGCAAGTCCCCCTCTGTTTAGTTCAAAAGAAACAAAATTAAGGTTTGGAGTGCCCAAGTCAAAGTCCTGACTTGAACCCCATTGAGATGCTGTGGCAGGACATTAAATGTGTAATTCATGCTCAAAAGCCCTCCAGTGTGGCTCAATTAAAGCAGTTCTGCAAAGAGGCACATGGGTGATATGTGTTGCAAAACTTATTTTTCTTTTAAAAAACAAAAAGATCATTTAAAAACTGTGGTTTGTGCTTCCTTATGTTCTCCTTACATTTTATATAAGGATCTGAAACCATTTAGTGTGACAGATATACAAAAATACAGGAGGGGGGCAAATACTTTTTTTACAGCATTGTAAATGTTAAGCTCTGTTCTGTGTCTTTTCAGGGACATTCCAGTTTTATCACCCATCTAGATTGGTCCAAAGATGGGAAATATATAATGTCCAATTCTGGCGATTACGAAATCCTTTACTGTAAGTGTTCTACACTTTGTCCATCTCATGTGCACAGGCACAGATCTCAATATTTACTCTCTTGACAAATGTCTTAAGCCAGGTTAACACAGTATTGTTTGTGCTTTTGTCATACAGGGGATGTGGCCGGAGGTTGTAAATTGTTGCGAAATCGTTACGAGAGTAAGGATCGTGAATGGGCCTCTTATACGTGTGTGCTGGGCTTCCATGTGATGGGTAAGAGAAACAACAACAAAAAATGCCTCCTCTGAATGTTGGTGGTTGTTGAATTAATTTGTTCATAACAAATTTGAAGAGTTTCATTTTATTGTGACATAGAACTGTTCGTTTTAACAGCATAATCTAATTGATTGAGATTAGTTCTATCACTAATAATAGCATATTACCATATATGGGCCCTTGCTTTGTGCTACAGCTCTTTGTATGTTTCTCTTTTAGTATTTATAAAATAGAAAATGCATTTCTGTAGAAGAGTTGTTGCTCCTAAGCTTTTCGGTTGGCAGCTGTGATGGTTGAAAAACAAAACAAACTGGCATTAGCAATAAACAAAGAGAATACATTTAAGCAGATGGCCTGTGAAATGCTTTACAGACTGTCTGAAACAAAACAACGTTCAGTTTGATCTGGCAGTCTTAAATCATTGAAGAAGCTGTGCTGAACTTGATATTGCGAGTTTTGTAGCTCTATCACTGATGCAAAAAGCCCTGACTTTTTTGCCAGAAAGAATTGCCAATATTAAAGCACATGTAGCACAATGTTCAGGGCTTTTTTTTACTTTTGTCTTAATTTTACAGAGCTGTTGTATAAAAGTGGTAGAACACTCATCTTAGGCTCATTTCAGTGGCCAAATCACACGATAAGACACTTCCTCTTGTGTTTGTGTTCAAAATATTCTTTGCATTTCTTCTGTTTAATGGTTTATTGTAGTTGAACATGGAGTAAATTAACTATGCACTGTATGTCTGTAATGTCCTTCATATTGTTTATTCATTTTGAATTTACATTTACATAAATGTGATAGAGAATATGTTTCAACTTAACTATTCTTAAGCCGTTTATGCTGGTCCTGCCTTATTCTCTTACAACAAATGATGCAGCAGTTTTTGTGTTAGACATATGCCGTGTGGGTGTTGGGTGGTTTGTAAAATATACCTCAGGGTCACCCACAGGGACTTTGCTTGTTACCTTGCTGAGTCCTGTTAGAGCATCTGTAGTGATAATGTGCATTGAATGTACTGTAATACTGTGTGTCTGTGGCATTGTGTGCAGGTGTGTGGCTAGAGGGCTCAGATGGGACAGACATCAACGCTCTGTGTCGCTCTCACAGTGAGCGAGTGGTGGCAGTGGCTGATGACTTCTGCAAAGTTCACTTATTCCAGTATCCATGCCCTAAACCAAAGGTCAGTTCAAGTTTGAAGTCAACGAAAATGGGAAATCATAACGCATTTTCTTTCCTACTATGATGAATTTCCAACTCAAACACAGTATCAGGGAAGGTCTCTGAACTAGCTGAGCATTTAGCTCAATAAAAAGTTGGGGCAAAGGAAGGGGGAGGTGAAACATATTGTGTGTGGGGGAAGGTGAAACATATTATTTTTCTCCACCCGTTGAAGCATAGTTACGGGGCCAAGAATCAGAAAACTATTCAGAGGAGAGGAAACGTCATTTAACTTTAATTGAACATTATGGGAAAACAAGAATTTTGTCTTATGAATGTTAGGATATGATGAATTGTGCTTAGCATGACCAGGGACACAAACTAACCAAGGGAAAAATAAAGAACGTTAATTTTGATTCCAGGTTGATTATAGTAGTAACAGTACTGCATAAAATCTACAAATCCCTTCTTTGTTTTTTATTAATATTTGCTACACATTTACACTACTTATTCTTTATATGTAATTTCAAATTTACACAATTAATCACATAATTCAAAAAGTTCATTACATTTACATTCAGTTCACTTTGAGTCTGAGTCTGTGTTTTTATGTTTGTTTTTGTGTCAAAAGGTTACAAAACTTGTTAAAAGGTAAAAGAGTACACAACAAACGACTGTATGTTCAATAAAACTTTTTAACAGATTCAAACCATAAAATATGTCCTACTTATGAACACTACTTATGAATCAACTTATGTTGATTAAAAAATATTCAATGTGTACTTTTGTCAGAATTTCTTTGCTTGTTTCAGTGAGTTACAAGTGAAATCTAACATAAAATTACAACATGCTTTAGTTATCAGCAGCAGTAAATGCAACTTGTGTCCGACAGGCCCTGTTTATACTCTAGTCCAAATAATCTTGATAAATAACATTCTAGATACACTATATGGCCAAACGTATGTGGACACCCCTCCTAATTATAGAGTTCAAGTGTTTCAGCCACAACCATTGCTAATAAGTGTATAAAATCAAGTACATAGCAGTCTCCATAGGCAAACACTGGCAGTAGAATGGGTCGCACTGAAGAGCTCAAGAGTGACTTTAAACGTGGCACTGTCATAGGATGTTACAAGTCAGTTTGTGAAACTTCTGACCCCGGTTAACTGTAAGTGCTGTTACTGTGAAACTGGTAAGTCAACAACAGCTCAGCCACAAAGCAGTAGACACAGACTCATGGAGCTACCACTGAGTGCTAAAGCGCACACCCATAAAAATTGCCTATCCTCTGTTGGATCACTCACTGCAGAGATCCAAACTGCCTCTGAAAGCATCATCAACACAAGAACTGTGTGTCAGAAGCTTCATGATATGAATTTTCATGACTCTGTAGCTGGGGACTCTGGAGCAATGGAAACCTGTTCTCTGGGGTTATGAATCATGCTTGACTACGTGGCAGTCTGATGGACAAATCTGGGTTTGGCGAATACCAGAACACTGCCTACCGGAATGCTAATGCTAACAGTAAAGTTTGGTGGAGGGGGGACAATGGTCTGGGGCTGTTTTTCAGGGTTACTCCCCTTAGTTCCAGTGAAGGGCAATGTTAATTCTAAAGCATACAAGGGCATTTTAGATAATTATATGCTTCCACATTTGTGGCAGTTTGTGGAAGGCCCTTTCCAGCTCCAGCGTGACTCTGCCCCTGTACACAAACGATATCCATAAAGACACGGTTTGACAAGTTTGGCGTGGAGGAACTCCAGTGGCCTGTACACAGCTCTGACCTCAACCCCACTGAACACCTTTGGAATAAATTGAAATGTAAGCCAGGCCCTCTCATCTAACATCAGTACCTGACCTCACAGATGCTCTGCAGACTGAATGGACACAAATTTCCGACACACTCTAAAATCTTGTGAAAAGCTTTCCTAGCAGAGGCTGTTATAGCTGCAAGGGGGTAGGGGGGCAACTCCATATTAATGTCCATGGTTTTGGAATGGGATGTCCAACAAGCTCATATAAGTGTGATGATCAGTTGTTCACATACTCTTGACTATATAGTACACATAATCTCCATACTTGTATGAGTATCAAAGTTAGAACATTTAGGAAATGTGTTTAAATAGTGACATTTATTCTTAATGTTGTTTTTTTTTCAGGCACCTAGTCACAGGTATGAGGGTCATGGCAGTCATGTGACCAACGTACGCTTCACACACAGTGACAGCCACCTCCTGTCGCTGGGTGGAAAGGACACATGCATCCTCCAATGGCGAGTTAAGAGGAGCGGAGCTGCAGACAACAAGGACCACCCAAACTTTTCTCTTCCTCCCTCCACTTCCACCAGCTTCTCAGACCCTGGGAACCAGAGAGAGAAAGAGCTGGGATGAACAGAGAGAGAAAGATGAAGAGATGGATAAAACAGAGAGAATATCATATCGCACAACCTAGTTATAATTCAGCATTAGGACGACTGTGCTGAAAAAAGCAATGTTATGGTGTTTTTAACCAGCTATCATGGCCAAAAAGGAGATAAATGGTGCCTTGAATTCACTATACGAGGTTTACATGTTACATTACTCAATTATATAGAGAACAGGACCAATGCTGTATGTGTCAAAGGGCTTATCTTTATGTGAAGTAAACTGATCTTAAAATTTCACTTCATTAACATTACATTGAGTTTTTGTTGATGAAACTGGATTGTAGAAGGCTTGTATGAGCCTTTACAGAAAATCATCTCACGAAGGTCTTTCAGAAGCAAGTTTCATTTATCTTACGTAACTCATTGCAGTACGTTTACATTACTGACCTGTTGCTTATTTGTAGCTGTGAACCGTTTCTTCTGTTAATTTCCTATGCGCTGTCTGGCTATGATTTATTAAATGTTTGTGTGTTATCACACTATTAAACCCAAACCCATTGTCTGTGAAACTTGATGTTGTATTTAATTGAAATATGACTGCAGATACTGTATAGATCACACACATAATCCAAGAAACAAGGCTGTTCTGGATGCTTCGGAACAAAATCTTCTGTTATTGATTCATTAATATTAACTCACTGGACACTTACACAATTATATACACTTACCTTGTATCTACATTCTTGTCTTACAATGTCAAACAGTAGTTCATCTGTTTCTCTGTATAATTTGTTAGCCCCCTTTGCCCCGTTTGCCCGTTTCAGTGGTTAGGACCACCATGGAGCAAGTACTATGTGGGTGGTGGTTCATTCTCAGCACTGCAGTGACACTGACATCATATGGTAATGTGTGTTGTGCTGGTACGAGTGAACCAAGCACAGCAGTGTTACTTCCTTAGTCCATCTTGTATTAGTCAGAGACAGTAGCTCATCTGTTGCTGCACAGTTTGTGTTAGTCATCCTCTAGGCCTTCATCAGTGGTCAGTTTCTGTCCAGAGGGCGCTGTTATCTGTGTATTTTTGGTTGGTGGACTATTCTCAGTCCAGCAGTGACACTGAGGTGTTCAAAACAGCAGCAGCACAAACAAAATAACAGACCACCACCATGTCAGTGTTGCTGCAGTGCTGAGAATGATCCACCACCCAAATAATACCTGCTCTGTGGGGGTCCTGACCAATTAAACAACAGGGCAACAAAGTATTTAGAGGAACAGATGGACTACAGACTGTAATTATAGAACTACAAAGTGCACCTATTTGGTAAGTGGATCTGATAAAATACACTACGTATGCATACCTAATAAAGTGGCCAGTGAGTGCACAGTCAGTTTAAAATTAAGTAGATAACAAACTTCTGAACATAAGGAGCAACTGTGCACTGTACAATGTAGTGATGTGCCTGCCCGCCACCTAGAGGACAAAGGCAAAATTAAAACGAAGAGTTCAATGTGGGCCTGTAACCGACAGGGGGCAGCAGCAGCACATCAATGACTTCCATCAGCAAACATTTCTGTTGGCTGGACTTTGGAGAGTAAGGGCGCTACACGTCGTATCTAAAAGCATAGTCACATATTCCCTGCCTGAGACTCCAGAACAAGAGCACTGCGATAAGACAATGAATCAAGGATGAGCACATACATCCACAGTGGTATTATAATAATAATAATGATACTGATGATGATGATAGTTGTTGATTTGTTGTTGTTTTGTTTATTATTATTATTATTATTATTATTATTATTATTATTTCTTTATTCAAAAATTAGATTAAACTGTGCATGTCTGTAAAAGTAAAGTAAATGACAGTTCAAAGTTTTCTTTTAATTAATTATTATTATAGACTTGTGTCGCGCATAAATAGCGTTGTTACTCTTTTCTACAATAACCGAAACTAAAGAGCTCCATACAGCCCTGCTCAAATAACTTATTCTTGAGCCCAGATAACTAAATTAAGTTTACTACAAGATCCTTTGTGAATTTTCCAAAACCTAAGAACTCGATAATTGATAGTCCTTCTAATCTGCTGACCTTTTTCAGATAGTTACAGGTAAGGAGCAGTCACCGGACTTCACCCTGAGCCCACTACCGCTGTGCGTATAAACATCGGAGCACATAATGACAGTAATAATAAACACGCGCCGTGTCGGCGGATCTCCGTCTGCTCTGTTTCATCTCCGAGTTCGGTGGATCTCGAGATCGCGCCGAGTTCTAAGTGACGTTGCGAGCTTCCGAAGATGACGTTTAAGAAAAAAAAGGGGGAGGAGGGGTGAGCGGAGCGGAGGTGAAGAAGAGGATGATGAAGCTGGGAGAGCGGAGGATGGGAGGAAGAGTAGAGTGAGTGAGAGAGATAGAGAGAGAGAGAGAAGACAGGCTGGCTAGCCGATGACTGTGGGTGCCTGCCTGCGAGGCTGAGTGTGTGGCCGGTCGGTCGGTCGGTCGGTGGGAGTTGTGGAGGGACGGACTGCATCGTTAACTACCGGATTGGAACAAAAGCAGCGCGTTTTAAACCTGCGGAGACTCGCCGTAACGGAAAGTTTGAACTTTTCTCCCACCGCCGCCGCCGCTCGGGCTCGCACCGTGCCGGCTCCCCGGCTTTGTTCCGCCACAGCAGCCGCCGAGTCCGCCGCCGATACATGCAGGAATAATAAACTACCAGCCGCTGCGCTTTTTATTGTTATCCGCTGAAGAGGGGAACCCCGGGCTTGTGTTCGCTGAGTGGAGTGAGAGAATGGCGGCCAACATGTACCGAGTAGGAGGTGAGTGTGTTTTCTTCTTTTTGTTTAACGTTGTAATTCTGCGCTTTCTTTAGCCAGCCTGCTAACATTAGCCGCTGCGGCTAGCGAGCTGATTAATAGTCAGCTAGTCGCCTCGTTAGCCTAAATGCTAACTAGCACGCTAGCGCCTTTTCTCATTTGGTGGCGTTTTTTTTATTTCCGCCTTCTTTACAATGGCCGGCTTAGTTAGCAAGCGAGCTAACGATTTGTAGAAGCTACCCAGACCGCTACACGGGGGACAAAGTAAAAGTTTTGGACTGAAGTTGAGGAAATGTTAGCTACGAGAAAATTGTTAACGTTATATAGTTAGACTAGCCGGCGCGCTGTGGTTCTGAAGTAACAGTTACTTTCTCTCTGTTTACTTTGTGGAGTTGTCACTCACTTTTTAGTGAGTGAGATCGGACTTTCTGCAAAAAAAAACAGCCTGCAGGCCAAGTAAACGAGTAAATTCATCTCTGATGCTTGGAAGGGACTGAATTAAATCCCATCGGCTGGAAAAACCCCGAGTTTCATGCATGTTGGCATCTAACAGGCTGAGCCCGATAATTACTAGCTAGCTCTGTCTTTGCGAACTTGCTCGCTTATCCAGCTCAAACGCGCAGGAGAGGAACAGCGCAGCGCCGACGGCTCTTAGTAGCCGCCTGTCTGTCACCTGTTAGTGTAGATGCTGAAAGCATGTCAGGTTTTACTGCTTAGTGCTTTGTTAGTTAACACCGCGAGTTGCTGCTAAACTTCGCCGTAGCGAATTAAGGACAACCTGAGGACAGTCTGAGCTCCGAGCAGCTGCCTCCTGGCTGAGCAGTACGCGGTGGGACAGCTTTTAATGCCGCTAACTGCTCATGCTGCTTTCCCTGCTGTAAAGCCGGTAGTTCGCTAACGTTAGTAAAAGTGATGCTGGCAGCCCTCTCTCCCCCAGTCCCGTGAACGGGACCACACACCTGCTCACATACTGTAACATACACACGCCTCATTTGCTGATTTCCTGACGACCCTAACAGCGCTGCCTGTGACCCGCTTTATAATACTGCATCTGTTTAAAGCCTGATTCATCTGCACTGATCACAGCCGCTCCGTCCACGGTGTCGTGCTGATGTGTAGACGGAACCGTCAGAGCGGCTGTAAATAGGTCAGTCAGTGAGGCGATCAAGATGCTGGGTTTTCTTTTTTTAATTAATCGACTCGCATCGCCGCTTACCAGCCTGTTCACAACCATCGACTCCATCCGCCTTCCGTTAATGTGGATCATTAACCACACATCTCTCTCTCTCTCTCTCTCTCTCTCTCTCTCTCTCTCTCTCTCTCTCTGGGTCTCTTTAGTGAACACATTAAGTCTCACCTTTTATACTAGATGTCGACTGTAAGGATGTAACAGTTTCAGTTTAGTATTGAATGTCAAAACAAAGAACCTTCACGATAGAGTACTGAAATATAGAACTGTATCGCCGATACGCCCCTCAGTCTCCTCTGAGGGTCTCTCATTGCCATCCTTCCTAAAGAATACACCGTGATCAAAACTAGGCGTCTGGGGGCATTTTGTGAGAGTGAAGTGCGAGGGAAGGGATTTTGTAAGATCACCATTTTGTACAAGAACCTGCTGCTTTGGAGTCTGTCGCCTGTATACTGTATGTCGTTAGAGCTCTGTAGACTCAAGACAGTACAAGTTATTGAAAATCGCATCAAAGCTGAAAATGCGTTTGTTACACTGCTGGCAAATCATGTAGCATTACTGATCAAGTGAAATAGTCATGAGCCGTGTTTTAATGAATGGATGTGTTAGAGTCTTTCAGTGGACTGTAGTCGACTAAGTGAACCAACAGGCTGTTCATTCATGTTTAGAGACTGTTTCCTCTGAAGTGTGCCTCTACATCTCAGTCTCAGAATCAGTCACTGTTTACTCGGATCCCATTCTCTGTTTCCTCTCGTTCGTCAGGCTGTTCTTTTCAGCGAATGTGCTTTATTTCAGTGTAAATACTTGTGTTTTTCTCTGCATTCCTCTTGTACTGCCTCGTTGACTAGAGTTGTGTATTGAAATGCAGTATGTTTATGGAATTGGTTTCGATACCTGAGTAGTCAGTCTTATCAGCAGTGAGCCCGTCAGCATAATCTGACTAATGAGCGTGTTATTAACATCGGTAGTCTGTTGAACAAATTGTGCAAACACAGACAGGAGCAGTGTCTCCGAACAGCCCCGCTACACGGTTTCAGAATCCCGCACTGTGACAGGAACTTTCTGATTTATTCATTTTTAAGAACTTTTCAAGAACAAAAAGAGTACAGATCATGTAACAATCTCTGTATCACTATAGATGTAGAGATTGTGTTTAAATAGCTTTTATTTTGTATAGTAAAAGATGTATAGAGAAAAGTGTTGTTTAGCAATCATTATCAAAGACAAGATACTGCTTTATATTGGTACCTGCAGAGGTGGACAATGTGATGTTTTGTTGGTATCATTTATAAATGTTATCATCAATGCACAGTATGCTTTTCTGAGGATATGGATATCATCACTACTTATAAAGAACAGTGACCAACTGCATGTTTCATTAACAAGATAACATAAGTCCTATTTAATTGGTTTTAGTGCAGTACAGAATGTGAAATGTTGAATAAAAGTGGTTTTTAATAGATGTATTCAATACTAGTGCATTGTCCCTGTATCAAAGTAGCATGATATGTATTCTGAAAATGTCTTTAAATATCATGATGGTTTCCGTATCACAGCCATCAAAAAATTTTGAATGATATGCAGCCTTTCATTGACCTAAAAGAGGCTACATTAGTAATAACAGCTCAGTTTCATATGGCATGGATTATGATGCCTTGGTGTGTTTGAGATTGACCTTCTGCTCCGAGTCCTGCTCCTTCTCTTCCATGATCATGGCCTCTTGGCTGTGAATGTGGTTCACAGCTCCAGATGGTGGAGGCCTGCTGGAAGTCCAGACTGCTGCCTGCATCCTGGGCGTATTGTCTGTTCACTGTTAAATACTAGGGATGCACATTCCGTCTAATTTTGATATTCAGGTGTCTAAGAGTTAAAGAACAGATATCCGGTTAACCGCAGGAAAGAAAAAAGCAACAACAAAAGGGGGGAAAACTGACTGCAGCTAAACTTAGCATACAGCTTTAGGCTGTTTTTTTTTAGATGCCAGCACTGAAGGTTAAAATTTGAAAGCATGTGTTATTATTCAAAAATAGCTGAGGGAAATCAGTAGGTTTTGTGTCTTATGAGCAACAGAGGCTGCCTGTTCAGATGAGCTAATGAGGTAACACTAACCAGTACATTGTTGGCTGCTGATGGAGACTCTTCATCTTCTACACGAAGTATGTTCCCCTGTGGATGATGTGGCAACATGTTACTTTGTCAGAGAAATGTATTTTCACTGTTTCTGGATCTATGTAACATCAACTAGAGTAATTGGCGTAGTTGGTCTTGAAAGTCGTGTTAGAGGCGGTCGCGTACCCCTGTGAAGTGGTAGCAAAGTATAACATATCAACTCTCAAAACTGTCACATTTTCCAGTCATGTTAAAACACAAAATCTGTTTCCTTGAACTGTTGGCCTACTTATTTTCTGTCCTCCAAGTACACATACACATCCCTGTTAAATACAGACATGGTTAAACTACTTGAGTTGGGTGAAGTAGTTAAGAGACTATACTTGAATTTGACTTAACAAAGTTGGTTTATGTATCAGTTTAACTTTTTGTGAGGATTTTTGCTGCCTAAAAAGGATTGTATGATTTAACTCACAAATTATATTTTCAGTGATATGCTGAGGTCAGACTAGTAGAGTTTTGACTGCAAAATTTGATGTGTAGTCCTGAACTCAAAGTGGTTTGGTTTTCTGATGTTTTTATTTATTTATTTAAATTCTGTATGAATGTATTGAGAGCTTCATTACATGAGAGCCCTGTATGTGAGAGACTTTTATATAACATACATCATTATCTTTATCTGTTATTTAGCCTGTAAACAGCAGCTATTTTACAGATTAATTCAGTGTGTTGTTTCATTATGTTTGATTATTTTTAGATTATTAGTCTTTCCAGTTACCAGTTTAGGGTTCATTATCATCTGGTTTTGAAAAGTACAGCCAGTCTTCAGTCACAGTGTGTTTGTACTTAGCTCTTCTTGCTTTGTATGTCGTAAGGAGACCATCAGATGTCCCATTAAGATGACCACGTTTAGGTTTTTGCACTGAGTTGGAGATTTGGCGGCTTTGTTTTCAATAGGTTCTGTTGCCAACTGTTGGTTGTGGTCCGCATGGGTGTAAATTTTGAGGTTCAGTAGCGCTGGGTATTTTGGTGAGTAGTTAGTATTTGGGCACATATGCATGTGTGAGAATGCCTGTCGTTGTAAAACTACCAGTGAACAACTAAATGTTCACAAACACGTGCCTCAAATCACACATCGCAGTAACTTCACCCGTTTAGTATTTAACAGCACTACAACACAAAGCACCTTTATGATACGTAAATAAAATGCTGCTAATCACAGCAGGCTACAAACTACTGATAAACTCACTACATTTGCGAACTAAACCACGTCTGTGAAAGTAAAATTAACTCGAGGGCACAGCTAACAAGGGTCATACACGCTGTGACACGCAGAAAGGACCTGAGTGAAGAGTTTCTTTTCTCTAACGCAGTTTTTTAATAACAATTGTAATAAATAAAGAGCTGACTTAGAGCACAGTTACCACACACTGGATGCTGTACAGTGTCTTGTTCTGAGACTTGAATGTACTGTTTCACTCACTCATCCATGTGCCATGTAAATGTAAATTTCTACATATTGATACAGCAGTGTCACTGTATCGATATCTGTGTAGTTTTTGGAGATTTATCATTGACATGCTGGAAAAGTTTGTTTGCAAAAATGTTAACATCCTTTAATGCAATTGGAAGCTAAGATTGTAAGACCTGGGATTTTTGTTCCCAAGGTGAAAATGCCATATGTGGGGCAAGAGAAATTTGTAAT